CCCACAAGGCTGCCTCCCAGCTGGCAGCCTGAATGGGCTTCCCTGCAGAGGCGACTGTCCTGGGCGGGCAGATCTGGAGAGTGCCAATGGAGATGAAGGCTAGCAGAGGAACAGACCCAGGCTGAAGCTTGGTGGGTGGACCACTGGGTCAGAGGCTGGGAGGAGAAGGGCCCCAGCACCTCTCATTCTGCCCCTGGCTTTACATGGGTCCCAGTGAGAGCAGGAAGATTGCTCAGGCCTCATGGCCATCAGCCCACTTCAGAGCCCAGGCTGAGCCCAGATGGGGGCTGCAGAGTGGCAGGTATGTACCCAGAGGAGCTTGGGCCCTGTGACTGAGGTGTCCAAGGGATGTCAGCAGCAGGCAGAGGGGTGGCCAGGTTGTGCTGGGCCAGACAGCCATCCCCATTGGCAGCCAAGTCTGATCCCAGCTCCAGCACTGCATGCAGCCTGTTCCCACCAGCCACCTTGACCAGTCAGACCCCTCGGGGACTGCTCCTGGCCAGGGCGTCCCACAGACCACTCAGGATGGATGACAGGACTGGCGCCAGCCCTCAGGGACCAGGCATGGGCTCTGAGTAAACCCTGCTCCTTTTAAAGCCATGGGGCCACAAAGGAATGTGGAGAGGCCAGCCAGGCTCCCAGCTCACACAGCTCCCCAGAGGCTGCCAGGTCCCAGAACTGCAGTCTGCAGCCACCCGGCTGCCTCCAGGTTCTGGCCAAGTGCAGCCCCTCACTCACCCTGGAGCGTGAGGAGAAAGTGGACATCCTGGGCAGGCTCAGTGTCCCTCCTGAGCACGGACATCAGGAGCATAAGCATGCTAAGATGGCTGCAGGGGTGCGGGACCATTCCTGGGGCCTGCAGAATCTCTGGGAATTCCCTATGAGGCCTCCCTATGTCCTGGGCCCTGGGCTCCTGGGTGGGGGTCACAGTCGCAGCACCCTATGGCCCAGAGCCACATTCAGTTTCCTACAGGGCCTGAGCCTGCCAACCAGCAGAGACAGCTTGGCATGGTGGCCCAGGGCTAGCGGGGCCAAGAGAAGCTGCTCTCGACCTGAAGTAGCAGAGGACGCGCTCTTGCTGCTTCCATCTTCCATAGGGGAAACTGAGGCCTTAGAGAAGGAGAGACAGGCAGGCTCATGAGGCTGCAAATGAGGCTCAGCTCCCAAGGTCTGCCCCCACAGCCTCCAGCTCCAAAGTCTCCAGTGGTGGGAGTGCCCAGCCACCTGAGGGCCACCAGGGCAAGGCAGAGCCCAGCCGGGCCAAGGCGCGCCTCCTGCCCAACATGCCGAAACTGGTCATCCCCTCAGCTGCCACCAGGTTCCCCCCTGAGATCACCGTCACGCCGCCCACCCCAACCCTGCTCTCTCCCAAAGGCAGCATCTCGGAGGAGACCAAGCAGAAGCTGAAGGTGACCACGTGTGCCTGGTTTGGGGCACTGGTGGGGGCAAGGGTTACAGGGGCCTAGGCAAGGGTGTGGATTATGGGGGGACTGGGGGAGCCAGACGCCCCTGACCAGGGCCCTACTTGGCCCTGTCTGCAGTCGGCCATCCTGTCCGCCCAGTCTGCTGCCAACGTGAGGAAGGAGAGCCTGTGCCAGCCTGCCCTAGAGGTCCTAGAGACGTCCAGCCAGGAGTCCTCACTGGAGAGCGAGACAGATGAGGACGATGACTACATGGACATCTGAGGACAGCCATGCCCTGGGGGACCAGCCAGGCCTGGAATGCCCCTCAGCCCAGACCTGGCAAGGCCAGAGGCCCACATGGGGTGCCATTCCTTATGCAGCCCAGGCTTGCCCACCCCCCACCAGCATCCTCCCTGCGCGCTGGCCAGGGCTGCCCACACTGTGTGGGAGTCCAGAGGAGGAGGAGCCCATCTTAGCCACGTGAAGGTGGACCGGTTGCAATCTGTACAGCAGGGAGGGCATCCTTTTCTATGAAATGTTGACTTTGTAATCGTGCCCACCCCAGCCCAGCTGGCCATGTCCACACCTTGGCGCTGGGACGAGCCAGGTTCTGCTCATGTCATGGTGGAGTGGTCATTGAGGACTCAGTTCGCCCTACATACCCCCTTTTTTCTGGTTTCTTTTCTAATAAAGATGGAACAGTTGTCTTTGCCTCTTTGCTCTCCCCGTGTGGCATGTGGGGTAGGGCCCAGGGCCTCCCTCAGGGGATTGCTGTCCCCAGGTCTCTGGACCCCTCCTTTCCCTGCAGGGCAGAGCCCAGTGCTTGGGCACCCCAGGGACCAGCCAGGAGCCTAACCAATGAGCATAGGCTGGGGGCCGAGCAGGGCAGGTCTCTCCTGGCAAGGCTGCAGCGAGGCCAGAAAGGGTGTTGGGGGCATCCCAGGAACTCACTGGCACTCGGGTGGGCAGGAGACTGAAGGGGCAGGCAGGACCCAGGTGTTCTGAGGAGCTGGCAGCAGGGTCCTGAGGGGAGGGGGAGATCAGGTTGGTGGGAAGGGGGTGCTTACCTCCCATCACACGTGCCGTCTGACAGAACCAGCCACGCAAGTTGTGGAGCCCTTTGTTCAAAAATTACTAAGAATTTTAAGACAGCAGAGCATTAAATAAAGCCATGATGCTGGTGTTGCCCTCCCATGTTCCAAGCCCATCTCTTTTGGCGAGACACAGGTTCCGGGGCCCAAACCTGCTCTTCACAGTGTCCACCGCCCCCCCCCCAGCACCTCAGGGGCCCATCTGCCACTGCCGACCCCATGGCTTGGGGCATCTCCTGCCCCCTGGGGCCTCCCTTGGAACAGGCTCTGTCCAGAATGAAGACAGGGACCCTCCTGGATGCCCTGTGCTCCTCATGGGCTAGACACAGACCCACCGCCTGGAAGACAGGCACGAAGGGCTGGGCCCTGCCCGGGTCCCCAGCCCAGGCCATTTGGAGCCAGAGGCGCGGCAGCCCTGGAGGTGCACTGGCTGATCTGCCCTCGGGAGGGCTGAGTGGCCGCAGTTGCTCAGCTAAGGCCCCTCCCTGCGGGGCACCCCCAGACTGCACACCTAGCACCTCCCACTCTTCCATCCTTCTGATCCATGCAGCTAGGGTGCCTAACCAATCCTCCTCCAGATCCACAACACTCCCCTTCCCAGGAGCAGTCTGAGACTCCCAGCACCCTTCCCAGGATCCCAGCCTACAGGAGGACCATGCTGTAGGGAGCACTCTCAGCCCTGGGCCATGGGATAGGCCACTCCCTGGCTCAGGACCTCAGCGTCCACACACAGGTGCCCTGAGCACCCAGCAACACTGTGGGTAAGGGATTTTTCTCCCCTCTGAAAACTGAGTCCCTGAGAAGGTGGGGATCTTGTAGGCTTCCTACCAAATATATTTGTGGGGCCGCCCCCAAAGCAGCTGTGTGGGGACTCAGGAGCCACTGGGCCCTGGTTCTGGCTCCTCCACCTCAGGCTTCTTGTGATACCAGTGGGAGCCAGCCTCTCTCGAGCTGGAACCTCTGGGAGCTTCGCAGATGGCTGCCAATGCCGGGTGGTTCTCAATGGACACGACCACCAGGCAAGATAGGGGCTGGCAGGGCCCTAGGAGCCAAGATGGGTCACAGCCCAGATGGCTTGAGCTCATACCCTGGGGCCAGCACCAACTCCCTGCAAAACTGGCTGAAGTTTCCCCTTTGGACACCTTGAGAAGCTGCATTGGGAGGAGGACCACCTGCCTGTCCTGAAGGAAGCCCCTGAAGCCAGGGCAGGTGGTGAGGGCCCTGGGCTAGTCACATGGACAATGATAAGGGAGGGGAAACCCGAAAAGATTATGCAAACTCCATGAGTGACAGGGCAGGGGCGGGTGTGGCTGGGCAGCTCTGCCTCTCCCCACGCCCCTGCCCAGGGCAGAGGCGTCTTTGGAGCCCTGGATGGGCCCTGTCTCCCTCCCAGGGCCAGCTGGGCCTGGAAACCTCCCTCCCCTTCCCCTTCCTCCCTCCAAAGAGGATCCCTGCAGGGCTGCCTTTGGCGCAGGGCTGCCTTTGGCCCAGAGCTCAGCCAGTGAGTGCCTGGCCTGGTAGTTCCCGCCCTCCCTGAGAGGGGCCTGGGGCGGGCCCTGGCATGAATCTGCTTGCTCCCTGGCCAGCTGTGAAGAGGAATCGGGAACCTCCTCCCTGCTGGAAGCTGAGGACTAGAGATGTAGGGTCTGTGCCCAGAGGGCCTGGAATCGGTTGATTGCAAGGACAGCCCCGCCTCACCCACCCTGCAGCATCCCATCCCCTGTGGGAGCCCCACCCTGCAGGCCTGCAGGGTGGAGTTGGGACTCAGGTTCTGAGCTGCAGTCTCTGGACATCCGGCTCATCAAGTGCCAAAGGTCCTGCAGCTGTTGGCACCAGCCCCCTCGCCCTCCCACAGGGTCCCAGGGCCGAGGTTCGGTCCCCCTCCCCTGTGTCCTAGGCCGAAGGGCTAGGAATGTGCTAACAGGGCAGGTTGGGCCCTACTGGTCCACACGGGCACCTGTGGACTTTGAGAGGGGACCGGGTGGGTGGGGCAGGATGGGGCGGTGCCGCAGAGGGCGGGGCAGGTGGGCGGGGCCAGGCTGGCTGAGAGCGAGCTCGTCCTGCCACCTCCGAGCCACTGCACTGCCCATGCTGGCTGTGCCCAGAGGGCCTGGAATCGGTTGATTGCAAGGACAGCCCCGCCTCACCCACCCTGCAGCATCCCATCCCCTGTGGGAGCCCCACCCTGCAGGCCTGCAGGGTGGAGTTGGGACTCAGGTTCTGAGCTGCAGTCTCTGGACATCCGGCTCATCAAGTGCCAAAGGTCCTGCAGCTGTTGGCACCAGCCCCCTCGCCCTCCCACAGGGTCCCAGGGCCGAGGTTCGGTCCCCCTCCCCTGTGTCCTAGGCCGAAGGGCTAGGAATGTGCTAACAGGGCAGGTTGGGCCCTACTGGTCCACACGGGCACCTGTGGACTTTGAGAGGGGACCGGGTGGGTGGGGCAGGATGGGGCGGTGCCGCAGAGGGCGGGGCAGGTGGGCGGGGCCAGGCTGGCTGAGAGCGAGCTCGTCCTGCCACCTCCGAGCCACTGCACTGCCGATGCTGGCTGTAGACACAGGCCGCACCATGAAGCTGCACCTCCTACCCTGGACCCTGCTGCTGCTGGCAACAGCCCCTGGCCCAGGCCCTGGGCCCACAGCAGGTATGCCCCACCCTGCCCATCTGTCCCCCTGTCTGTCCATCTGCCTGCTGCAGCCAGGCCTGGGGCAGACACTTCTCTGGGCCCAGCGTCTATCCATCTGTTGGGCCATCTGTGGCTGTGCTGGGGGTGGTGGGAAAAAAATTCAGAAGGTCCATCCTTGGTCAAGGGGCTGCCGGCAGGGATGGAAGGTCTGGGCTGAGTCCACCTTAAACCCTAAGGGAGGTGGTGGCTACATGGGAGGGAGGCAAGGGAGACCAGCAGAGCCCTTGACCTGCACCCCGAGCCCCTGTGGAGGGCATGATCACATACGGGGAGTCTCCCAGCTCCCTGCCCAACCCTAGGCAGGTTTGCCAGTCCTCATCAGGGTGCAGGTTTGCCAGTCCTCATCAGGGTGGGACTGAACCCAAGAAAGTCTAGGGAAAGGCTGGAACTCCAGAGCCAGAAGCCGGCCCCCAGGCCCCCAGCCTCATACATCTCCTATCTTGCAGGGATGTGTCACCACGCTCCTGCCACTTAGCTCATTTACTGGCACCTCTCAGCCTCCTCCCCATACACCCTTGAGCCATCACATCCTTGGCCAATAAATATTTATTGACGCTCTTGAGTGCCAGGCACTGCACTTAGTGAAGTAGGGCGGCAGGGTGGCTCAGCCTCAGGCCTGGCCCTTGACTGACCTCCTTTGAGAGGAAAAGGGAAAAGGGCCAGTGGGACATGTGATTCCAGCCTGGGTGCTGCACCCCACCCCAGTCTTCACCCTCCAGTCCGTCCTCCATGCCAGCTCCCCAAAATATGGCTCTGCCACAGTTCCCACAGCCAGGGCAGAAGGCTTGGGCCTGACATCCACAGCCCCTAGTAGTGTGTGCCCCACCCCTCTCAGCCCCTGCTGGAAATATCCTTCCTCGCCTCTAAAAGGAAGGGAGCACCCCTGGCCTCCCCCAAGGGTGATGCTGTATTTGGGATCTAAATTGCTGACCCCAGAAGAATGAGATGATCGAGTTCAGCCCCATTCCCTACTGGGCCTTGAATGGGACTTAGCAGCCACGTCAGGACTCCAGACCCATGTTGAGGGCCAAGGCCACTTTGACCCTCCGAGGACCCCTGCCTTGCAAACAACAGGACTTGGTGGCTAAAGGTTGGTCATGCCCTGGGGCTCCTCCTGACCCTGCAAGGTTGAGTGTCTGGAGCATTTCCCCTTGTCTCTTTACACTCTAGCCAACCGCCCAGGCCGATGCCTGTTATCTATGCTAACACAGGTATCACAGTGGTTTGCCATTGTGTCCCCACGGTGGCCCATGCAATTCCTAGCCAACGTGCTCCTGGGGATGCTTCTCTCTAAGGGGCTGCAGGGAAAACAGAGACAGGCCCTGTGCATGGTGCAGCCTCAACATCTGCCCAGCCAGGCACTCAGGGTCCCGTCCTCCAGGTGCCCAGGAGAGCTGCTCCATGCGCTGTGGGAACCAGGATGGGCCGTGCTCCTGCCACCCGACCTGCTCTGGCCTTGGCACCTGCTGCGTGGACTTCCAGAACTTCTGCCTGCAGATCTCGCCTTACTCGGGCTCCATGATGGGCGGCAAGGACTTCGTGGTGCAGCACCTCAGGTGGTTAAGTACCACTGATGGCGTGATCTGCAGGTGCGAGACCCATCAAAGCCCCCACACTCCCAGACCCTGCCTGCTGAGGGCCCAGACCCACTGACTGGCTAGGTGGAGCCCATCAGACCAAGGACAGGCACAGGGACAGCAGGCTGGACAGGTTCCCCAGGCAGTGCTAGGGGCCAGGGCCTTTGAGAGGGTCAGCCTGCGCTGGCCCAGCTGTTCCTGCCCCTCTGTCCCCCACAGGTTTAAGGAGAGCATCCAGACCCTCGGCCACGTGGACTACTCTGGGCAAGTGCATTGCGTGTCACCCCTGCTCTACGAGAGTGGCCGTATCCCCTTCACCATCTCACTGGACAACGGCCGCTCCTTCCCTTACGCGGGCACTTGGCTGGCTGGTGAGCCCGCGCACCTGGTTCCACCCACAGCCTGAGCCCACGGGGACTTTCCCCAGCGCTAATCTATGCACACTGAGACCTGGCCCACCCAGCGGGCCCTGCTGGTCTGGCTGAACCAGTCCCTCGGGTGGCCCACCCATCTGTGGGGGCGGGGGCTCCCTCAGCTCCTTTCCTCTCCCCTAGCACCCAGACAGGAGTCCCAGTCCAGAGGGAGTGGGAGCTGCTGGGGTCCCCCAGCGAGGTGGGCCAGGGCAGGGAGTTGCAGAGGAAAAGGTCCAGGCAGTGGAGGGCAGGTACCGCCTCTCCCAGCCTCCAAGTCCTTTACTGCCTGGGAGTCAGGGGGAGACCATCACCCAGCTGCTGAGATGCTGTGTCCTTGGGAGGCTCCCACAGCCCTCAGAGCCCCGGGGCCTCCTCCCATGCACCCCCTGGGCCCCAGGACTTCACTCACCCCCCACTTCCCCCTGCCCAGTGCACCCCAACAAAGTGTCAGAGATGGAGAAGAGCCAGTTGGTGAATGAGACCCGCTGGCAGTACTATGGCACCTCCGACACTGTGGGCAATCTCAGCCTGACCTGGAACACCTCGGTGCTGCCCACGCAGGCTGTCACCATCGAGCTGTGGGGCTACGAGGAGATAGGTGAAGTGGGCAGAGGGCTGGTGGTGGTAGCAGGAGCTTTGGGCTCCCAGAGATGGGAGAAAGGGAGTTCCAGATTGGGGGGAAGGGAATTCTAGGCAGGGATTGGGATTAGGGATCTGGAACTGGAAAGTGCAGGCACAGAAGAGAGACAGGGATAATTTCCATCGGCGTGAGGGGGTTTGGGGCCCCAGCTCCTGGAGGCATGGACACCTCAGCCCGTGGATGGGAGGCTTGTGCTGGCAACACCCCATTTTCTCTGAGACCCTGGACAGCTGGCATGACCCTGGGCCTGGCCTCAAGCAGGGACAGTGACCCTGGACTGCAGGGGGTTGGGGGGTGGTCACCCAAGTCAGGGTCCTTGCTGGAATGGCAGGGCAGTTCCTCCTATGGAGACCATCTGTCCATCTATCAGGCTGTTCTGAATGTGGTCACCCAAGTCAGGGTCCTTGATGGAATGGCAGGGCAGTTCCTCCTATGGAGACCATCTGTCCATCTATCAGGCTGTTCTGAATGCCAGGGACTGGGGTCAGGCCCCTCTTCTGCCCAAGGAGTCTTTTGAGGGGCCCCACGGCTGACCGAGGCCCTCTCTCCCTTAGGGAGGCCATACTCAGAGAACTGGACAGCAAAGTGGTCATACCTGTACCCCCTGGCCACAAACGTCCCCAACTCCGGCTTTTTCACCTTCACTCCAAATCCTGCACCCCTCAACTACCAGAAATGGAGAGTGGGTGCACTGCGGGTCATTGACAGCAAAAACTACGCAGGGGAAAAGTAAGGGCCTCTGTGCAGAGGATGGGCTGGGGGCCCATCTGCCTGCAGACCACCATGTTTGCTGGGGAAGCCTGGGCCCAAGGGCAATTGAGGGGGCGGCGAGGCGTGGCCCAGCTCTCAGATGGTGCTCCGTCACCACCACAGGGATGTGCAGGCGCTCTGGACCAACGACCATGCGCTGGCTTGGCACCTGGGGGATGACTTCCGGGCAGACCCCGTGGGCTGGGCCCGCACTCAGTGCCTGGCCTGGGAAGAGCTGGAGGACCAGCTGCCCGACTTCCTGGAGGAGCTGCCTGACTGCCCCTGCACCCTGGCCCAGGCCCGGGCTGACTCTGGCCGCTTCCATGTGAGCCCCCACCCCATCAGGGCGTGGGACGGGGGCAAGGGGGCAGCTTCCCCCACCAAAGGCAGTGCCGGGGGAGGCAGACAAAGGCTCCTGGGAGGTGGGGCTGGGGTCTGAGGGTCCCTGCAGGGTGGGGTCCCAAGGAAGGGATGTAGACCTGAGGCTGGCAGGTGACGACCACCAGCTGCTCTGCAGACGGACTACGGCTGTGACATGGAGCAGGGCAGTGTGTGCACCTATCACCCGGGGGCCGTGCACTGTGTGCGTTCCGTGCAGGCCAGGTGAGCCCCTAGGATGGAGCGGGGCGGCGGGGGAAGGGCTCCTGCAGTGGCCCTAACCTGCCTGCGCCCCCAGCCCCCGGTACGCCTCAGGCCAGCAGTGCTGCTACACGGCAGATGGCACGCAGATCCTGACGGCTGACTCAACCAGTGGCAGCACCCCTGACCGTGGCCATGACTGGGGTGCACCCCCGTTCCGCACGCCACCCCGTGTGCCCGGCATGTCCCACTGGCTCTACGACGTCATCAGCTTCTATTACTGCTGCCTCTGGGCGCCCGAGTGCTCCCGCTACATGCAGCGGCGGCGCTCCAGCGACTGCCGCAACTACCAGCCCCCACGCCTAGGTGGGTGCCACCCTGGGTGTCCAGCCCTGGGGAGGGTCAGGCAAGGCCGGGCTGGGGTGGGCTGTGGCTGACCCTTCACTCTTGCTCCAGCCTCCGCCTTTGGCGATCCGCACTTTGTCACCTTCGATGGCACCAACTTCACGTTCAACGGGCGCGGAGAGTATGTGCTGCTGGAGGCAGCACTGAGCGACCTGAGGGTGCATGTGCGGGCCCAGCCCGGGACAACGTCGAGCGGTGAGTCTGAGCCCGGGGGAGTCTGGATGCCACTGGGTCATCTGGGGTGGGAGGCTGGAGCCAAGTGGACCCATCCTGCACCCCCACCCCAGGCACGCAGACCCTAGGCACAGGGCTGACCGCGGTGGCCGTCCAGGAGGGCAACTCAGACGTGGTGGAGGTCCGGCTGGCCGACAGGGCGGGGGTCCTGCAGGTGCTGCTGAATCAGGAGGTGCTCACCTTCACTGAGCAGAGTTGGATGGACCTGAAGGGTGAGTGGGACAGCCAGGCAAGGTCAGCAGGGGGCTGCCTCGGGGCTGAGAGGTGGCCCTGGCCCTTTGCACCTCTTCGCAGACCTGGCTGGAGCCCAGGGTGGTATCCAGGGCTCAGATGCAAAGACAGAGGCCTCTTGGGACTCGAGGGCAGCCCGGCACCACACAGCTGGGTGGGCGAATCCGTGCCCCCTGCACATGGCTGCCTTAGGCCAGACATGGTTTTAGGCGCGGCAGCAGGGCCCCCACCGGAGGTCTGAGCTCACGTCTTCACACCCCTGGAGGTGCCTACCTGGCTCCTACAGGGTCCAGCCAGAGCCCTGAGAGGCCAGGACTGTGGGACGTGTCCTCCCTAAGGTCCAGAGAAGCCTGGGAGGTGGAATGATGGGACTAACCCTGACAGCCATCACCTCCGGCCAGCCTGGCACCACTCCTGTGCCGCGGTGATTCATTCAATCTTCAAAAGCCACTGCAAGGAAGTCGGCCCTGCAGGGTTAAGGAAGCAGCTTGGAAGTGGCAGTCAGAAATGGCGGCTCCAGCGTCCAACCCCTGGCCATGGCCGTGCTGTCTCAGGGAAGCAAACAAATTAAGCGGTCCCCAGCTGGGGAGGGCCGGTCAGCGCTGGGGGTGTAAGGGCCTCTGGAAGGGCAGAGGCAGGTGCCCAGGCAGGGAATGACTCCCTCGTGTAGCCTCAGGCTGGGGGTTCCCTGCAGGGGCTGGCACCTCAGGTCCATCTGGGGGTCCTGGCACAGGTGTGGGCAGAGTGTTCTAGCAGGGTTGGCCCTGGGGATGCTCTCCCTGTCCCCTGCAAGTGCCACCCAACCTGTCCTGGGGCTGCAAGGGGGTGCAGGGCACAGTGTTGCCAGGGGGTGATCCTGATCCCCCTCCACCTGTGCCCAGGCATGTTCCTGTCGGTGGGTGCTGGGAACAGGGTATCAGTCATGCTGGCTTCAGGAGCTGGCCTGGAGGTCAGCATACAGGGCCCATTCCTAAGTGTGGCCGTCCTGCTGCCTGAGAAGTTTCTTACCCACACCCACGGCCTCCTCGGGACACTCAATGACAACCCCACCGACGATTTCACCCTGCGCAGCGGGGAGGTCCTGTCCTCGAGTGCCAGTTCCCAGGAGCTGTTCCAGTTTGGAGCCGACTGTGAGTGACCCCATGGAGTCTGCGGGGCAGGGAGAGGGGGAGCATGGCACAGGCAGGGTTTATGGGCCAAGGGGCGTCCCCAGATGCTTGGGCCACCCCACAGGGCCATACCCAGCCAGGCCTGCTGCTGCCTCCCCAGGGGCCGTGCACAATACCTCCTCCCTGCTCACGTATGACTCCTCGTTCTTGGTTCACAACTTCCTGTATGGATCCAAGCATGACTCCACTTTCAAGCCCCTCTTCCCCGACGAGTCCACCCTCAGCCCCAGCCAGGCACAAGAGGTGGCCGAGCTGTGTGGGGATGACCATTTCTGCAGCTTTGACGTGTTGGCCACTGGGAGCCTAAGCATGGGCAACGCCACACGGGTGGCACACCGGCTGCACCAGAGTCGCCTGCAGAGCCTGCAACCCGGTGAGGGCAGGTGGGGGGCATGGGTGAGTGAGCGGGCACCCTGCCCTGGGACAAGGTCCCCCAAGGCTGCTGGCTCAGGCCTGTTTTCTGGGTTCTGTCCCCTCCTCAGTTGTGTCCTGTGGCTGGCTGGGTCCCCCCACCAATGGGCACAAGGAGGGCACCAGGTACCTGGTAGGCTCTACCATCAGCTTCCACTGTGACAACAGCTACAGCCTAGTCGGGGCAGAAACCAGCACCTGCCAGGCTGATGGCACCTGGTCCATGCCCACCCCGAAGTGCCAGCCAGGTGAGGATGCCCCGCTGGCAGACCTGCCCCTGTCCCCACACCCACCCGCCCTAGACCACCCTCACCACTCTGCCCCTTGCCAGGACGGAGCCACAGGGTGCTGCTGAGTATCGTCTTTGGAGGCCTGGCGGTGGTGGCAGTGGTCGCGCTCGTCTACATGCTGCTGTGTCGCAGGAAGGGCCCCATGTGAGACCCCACCCAGACCGAGTGCCCCACCAACAAACCCCTGTCACGCCCCTCCTTGGCTCTCCTGAGAGCCTGGGGCAGCCAGTGGGACTGCCATGTGCACTCTAAATCATGTCTCTGTTGTAGGCATATCTGGCACTCACAGCCTTGATAGTGGAGCACGCTTGGCCACAGCACCACGCACATGGGGCCACGTCGGGGCCAGGACCCAGCATCCCAGGAGAAAGCCCTGGATTCCCAAGAACATGCACCCCAGTCCTCTGATCCCCAAATCCTGAGGACTGTGCACATGGGACGTGGACACCTGATACCGGGCCTTTAATGCCCGTGAACCCTTCTCTGTCATTATAGACCCGAGGCATGATGCCCAATGTTCCAATGCCCAAACCCCATGACATCAGTGCTCTGTGCTCTGTTTCCCGGTACTCGTGGCTCATTCCCCAGACCTGAGGCTGTGTACCGAGCCCTAGTACTCCCACACCCGACACTCAGATTCCATACCTCACTCCTGATACAGCGTGGTGCTGGTGACCCCGATGCCTGCTACATCGAGACCTGCTGTCCCACCATGGGGGCCCCAGGGTCAAGTTAGCCTGGTTCCTGGACCCCAGGTGGGCCCAGCCCCAAGGTAAGGAGAGGCCTCAGGACCCCAGAGCAGAGAATGAGTCGCTGGTGGAGGACAGGCCACCTCTGCACTACAGTCTTCTGGAAAGTCACTCAAGAACAACCGTCTCTGCCTATACAAGGAGAAAACAAGCCCCTGTATTTCCTCACTGGTGTCCTGGTGCTCATGCTATGCCTCAGTTCTGGAGAGTTCCACAGTTGCCCTGTGGGGTCACCCACTAACAGTACCAGAATGACCTGGGTTTGAGTCCTGCTTGCTTTGTCCACTCCCAGGTCACCTGGGACAGGCCCTCCCCAGCCTCTCTCTTCATGTGTAAAGTGGAATCTAGAACAGTGACTGCCTCGTGGGGTGGGGGACGAAAAGGGCTCAGCATAGGGAGCCACAGGGTGCTCAGGAGATGGAGGGGCCAGCCCCCGACACCTGCTGGTGTGGGAGCCGGAATACGGGGGCCCAGGAGGACGGGACGCCTTCAGAGCTCAGCAGGACCACCAGAGGGTAGCCCAGTCAAGGGAAGCCCCCAAATTGGGGTCAAAGGACTGGTTGGATTCTCAGAGCTATGAGTGGTTGGAGAGGGTGTTCCAGATAAAGGAGCAGCCCCAGCACAGTACCTGCCCCTTCATCCCACCCTGGCATTCCTTGAAAAGAACTGCCTGCCCCACTCAGCTGGCCCAGCCTGGCCTGGGTCCCAACCCTGCTCCTGGCACCACCCTGCAAGTGACAGCTCCTTTGTTGGGCATAGTTGCTGGTAGGGCCTTGCCCAAGTCCTCAGGGGACCAGGGCCCCTGTTCCTTAGCTCAGGAATGCCCAAAAGCTAGCACAGAACCCAGGCCTCACACCACCACTGCCTACTTGAGCAGCTCCTTACCTGCCCCTCTGGAGCCAGGTGTAGAGGGGAGGGTACATCATGGAGGAAGAGACTAGGAGCTAGCTGGCGGACGAGCAGGGCCCCAAGTCCTCTGTGGAGAGGGCACTGAACAGGGACCGTGCAGGGACTAGAAAGCGGAGGATGGAGTCACATTTGCTCCTTAGATCTCAAACCGAGAAGGTGCCAGGAACGTGGGGCTGGAGGTTGGTGCTCCCTGGCCCAGGCTGCACCAAGTGGCTGGTGGTGCAGAACCACCACCAAGTGGCTGGTGGTTCTCCACGGAGAACCCTGGGTAGGGAGGGTAGTGGAAGCCTCAGGGTAGCCTGCAGCACTGGGAGTGGCCACATGGTGGCAGTAGAGGGCAGGAACAGCGAGGGGAGGGGGCGGGGGAGGTCCCTGGCAGTAGGGAGGGCAGTCAGACACCGTCCTACCACTGGGCTATCAGGCTTGGTTACAACCGCTGCCAAAGTTCGTGCATGGCCCATCCCTCCTTCCCCTCACCTGCGAGGAACGCATGAGCATCCCTGAGTCTCAGGAGTGTTAGGTTGAATAGGTTTCTCCACGTTGTCCAGCTGGCACTGACCATGAGGTTGGAGTCCAGGAGTCCAGCCCTCCCACTGCCTAGCCTTGCTGTTGGCGAAAGACCTGGAGGGCTTCCTTGAGGCGAACAGGCACAGTGGGGCACATGTGAGGGAAGAGAGCTGAGATTGAGGAGTTGAGGGCTTGCCTAGGAGACTAGAGGAGGAGGATGGGGTTGGTGCTTCCTGCCCTTCCAGACCCCACCCCCTTGCTTTCCCACCCCTCTGGCCTTGCAGCTCTGGGCAGGTTGGGGCTGAGGGCTGACTCCTTGGCTGTTGGGCAGGTACTTTCCTCTCTGCAGATGAAGTAAGGCAGGGCTCACCTCCCACTGCCTGGGTTCCCAGTGCATCCCTGTGCCATGCCAGGCCAGGGCCAGCCACTTGTCAGAAGGAGAGAGTATAGTTTCCCGGTCAAAGCTTGGACAGGAAACACAGGGGGCCCAGGAGCACAGGGACGGCTTCACAACTCATGTCCATCAGAGGGAGACAAGGGCAGCCTCCTAATTGGGGCCAAAAGACAGGTTGGATTCTCAGAGCTCTGATTGGTTGGAGAGGTTGTTCCAGGTAGAGGAACAGCAAAGCAAAGGCTCAGAGGAAGAGAAGTGCAGTCGCATCTGAGCAACAGCGGGGACGGGGAGCAGCCAAGGCACCTCCCGGCCAGGCCAAGGCACTGAGAGTTTATCCTGCAAGTAAAGCATGGCCTGCCTCAGGCCCCCCCACTTCTACCAGTCTCACTCCAGGATGAGCCCTAGAGTTTCCCCAAACCTCCCCTCCCCAGCAGGGGGAGAAGGGGTGCCCTGTCTGTGGCCCTGGCCCCAGACATCAGACGTTCCTAGTGCCAGGGACAGGCCAGGCTGGGAAGCCCCAACACCTGACAGGGGTTTCCCAGGGCCCAGCCCAAAGGAGACGGAGGTGCTACTGGGCCTGTGCGAAGGCCACAGGTCCCAGAGCTGGTGAGGCAGACTCTCTAAAGACATCAAAGGCAGGGACCTCCGCCTTGAGGAGGTAATCTCCAAAACAGCAGCCCTGGGGCTTGGAGGATGGGTGGCAATGGGAGCTTGGAATGACAGAATATGGGAATCATGGCATCAGAACCAATGGCCTGCCCTCCACCCCTGTACCAGTTGGGGTGGGGAAGACGGTAATCCAGGTGCTTGGAAATGCAGGTGATGGGAGAGCTGGGGGTCAAGGAGGAGCCTGTGAGGCAGCCACAGGATCCCAGCAGGGAAGAGTATGTCATCAGATCCAGGCCCAGGGCCCCGCGGAAGCAGGAACCACACAGGCTTGTGGGCCAGAGCGGGAGTCAGAGGCCACAGACCCGCCGCAGATTTCCCCACTGGTGGGAGTGGCGGGTGGAGCACCCGCCTTTCTCTCTCTCCTGCCCTTCAGCCTCCCACTAGGGCCTCCCATGGGCTGAGCGCAGCAGTGCGGAGCAGCTGACACAGGGGCCAGGGAGATGAGGGCTCCGGTCAGGTACAGGCACTGCAGGGAAGTGCGGGACCCTCTTTAGCCAGGTTGGTTCCTTCCACAAGTCTTAGGGTGGCCAAGTGCCCAATGTGGTACAGAGGTACCAAGACCTCTGCTGGGCCCATTAGGAGACCTCTGTCCTCACAGTCCAATGCTGTCTGAGGAGGGGGGGTGGTCAGTGCAGCACGTTGTGGCAGTGGTATGTCAGGGAGGGCTTCCTGGAGGAGTCTGGCTCCAGCTGAGTTCCAAAGGATAAAAACCAGTTAGGGACATGAGGCTGAGTAGATGCGTGCTAGGCGCTCAGCAGCCCACACCACACACTGACTACATTTCCCAGTCTCCCTTGCAGCTGGGTGGTCACATGACTAGGTCTAGGCAGGCCACTTTCAATCCTGACCCATAAACTTCCCACTGGCTCCCCTCCAGGCTCTTTCCCCAGCTCCTGTTGATGTAAGGATGTGAAGACGGCTTTGGGAGCCATGACAACCATGTCCCCACATGGAGGAGAACCCCCTACCAACCTGTTCACCCAGCCAGTTCTGCTCCAGGAACAAGAAATAAACTCTCTGATTAAGCCATAATACGGATGCGGAGCTATCTGTTGCAGCAGCCAGACCCTTTAACGATAGATACACCAGAGGCGGAGGTATGAAAGATGGCCTCACATTTTTCATTAGTGTTGAAAATAAACACTGTGTGTATAAGGTTAAAAAAATCAAAACAATAATTCACTTAACTAGTCCCCACTTGGTGGACACAAGTTATGCTCACTCTTTTGCTTCTTTAAACACTGTTGTACTTTGTAAATAAGTTCGGCTTACCCGTAGGAGAAATCGACGTGAGTGGAGCGGCTGGTTACACAGCACACGCACTCTCCTCCTACAGGTGTGCAGTTGACATCCAGCGCCAGCCTGCGAGGGAGCCTGGATCCCCACACACTCACCCACTACGGAGCCTTCACATTATCTGCTCTTTGCCAGATGAGAAATGTTGTGGAGCCTGTGTCAGCTTGGCTAGGCTGAGTAACATTTCCCAGAATTCCCTCCCCTGCCTGTTTCTGGTTAGCACTGGCCAAAGGAGAGATTCCCGTGCAAGACTGGGGGGCAGAAACGACGCGGCAGTCACTTCAGTGGCTGACTCATGCTGCTTATTGGCTGGCTCAGCTCATTGGCCCAGGCACAGCCCAGGCCTCCAGCTGTTCACCTGCCCTGAATCAGATGCACTGCCTTCAAATGCGCTGACTTCTGGGCTGGGTGTGTGACAAAGGGTCCCAGCTTCTGCAGGAAACCCTTGTCACCCCTGGCGTCAAGAATGGACATGGGTTCCAGTCCATCCTCGTGGACTCCAGCCTGTGTTTGGGGTTCCAACAAGTGCGGATCCCCCCATATTATTCAGTTTTCTGTGGCTGATAACAGAATACCTGAAACTGGGTAATTTATAAAGAAATGAAATATATTTCTTACACTTTTAGAGGCTGGGAAGTCCAAGGTCCAGGGGCACATCTGGAGAGGGCCTTGTTCTTGGTGGGCACTCTCTGCTGAGTCCCAAGGCAGCAAAGGGAAAATCATGGTGAGGGGAGAAGAGTTCGTGTTAATGTGCTTACTTGCTCTTATAAAGCCACCAATGCCCCTCCCGTGATAGCCAACGCACTCATTAACCCAGTACTCCGTGAATGGGTTAACCCTCCATGAGGGCACAGCCTTCACAATCCAATCACCTCCCATAGGCCTCACCTCTCAACACTGCCACATTGGGGACCAAGCTTCCCCATGAGCTTTGGAGGGGACAGACATTCAGACCATAGCACTCCAGCAACACCACCTTACATCCATCTTCCCTTCCCAACTCCCTGCCACATGGATCTCCAGCATCAGATCAAAGATGACAGACTTCCAGAGACGGCTCAGCCTGCTCCCACAGCTGTGGGTCCCACTTCTCTGATGGAACCCTGACTGTGACAGACTTACAGAGACGGCTCAGCCTGCTCCCACAGCTGTGGGTCCCACTTCTCTGATGGAACCCTGACTGATATAAACGTGAGACCTTTAACTTTTCTTTAAAGTACGAATTGTATATAGGAAAGTGCACACCTGATAAGGGAACAGCTTGATGACTTAACCCAAAATAAA